CGCCGCAGCAGCCTCCCCCTATTCGTTTCCCTGAGATGTGTGCGCAGCAGCAGCAGCAGCAACAGCAGCAGCAACAGCAGCAGCAGCAGCAGCAGCAGTTGCAGCAACAGGAGCAACAAGAAGATGGGGATAGACGTGTATCTCAGCCTGCAGCTCTGCCTGTTGTAGAGCGCACAGCGAAGATATCTTTATGTGTTGAGGGTGCCCACTTGCTGCTTCTGGATGATCTGCGTTCCTCTGTGCTGCCTGTGCTGCAGCTGCGGCTAGCAGCAGGGGGCCTTGTCTTCGATATAACATCAGCTCAGCTGCAGATAGCGCTGCGAGATTTCTGCTGCAACCTTGACTATCTGAACGCGAAGGCGGGGTGCTGGGAGCCGTTCATAGAGAAGCTAGAGGTTACTGCAGTGTATAGACATGATTATGCTGAGGAGCAGCAGCAGCTGCTGCAGCGGCAGCAGGCACAGGTGGGGGCCCTTGATATGCCCCCAGGAGAAGAACACTGGGGGGCCTTCAAAGCAGCTAAGACACTCATGCTGCACAGCCAGTCCCCTTTCTGGCTCAACTGCACGCCGCAGCTCTGCGACCTCTTCGCTTGGTTTCTCCCCTATCTCCTCGCGCACCTCACCGAGGGGGGGGTACCCAGCGGAGACGCAGCAGCAAGCAGCAGCAGCAGCAGCAGCAGCAGCAAGGGCTGCCGCAGCCCAGCAGCTATTTCCCGCAGCGCATCTTCTGCTGCTGCTGCTGCTGCGGGGATCAGCCCGTCCACGCTGCAGCTGCTGCAGGGAGAAGCAGCACAGAAAGAAGGGTCAGAGCTGCAGCAGGAAATATGTGCAAGGTTAGCGCGGAGCTGCAGCGAAGGGCAGAATGTGCCTGCAGCAGCAGCAGCAGCAGCAGCAGAAACAGTTGCTGCTGCTGTCGCCTCCAAGGGCAGAGAGGAGGAGGCAGCCTTCCGGTATTTGAATCTGACGGGGGAATGCCTCTATGCCTTCACGATGCACAAGCAGCGCGGGGGAGTGCGTGACAGCAGCAGCAGCAACAGCAGCAGCAGCAGCAGCAGCAGCAGCAGCAGCAGCAGCAGCCGGAGTGCATTGCGGAGCGGAGCTGGTGGTGGTGGCAGCGAGAGTCAAACAGTAGACAGTTTGCTGCTGCTGCTGCCGGGATCGTCGTCTC